AAAAACTTGTTTAAAAAGATCTTCCACAATTGCAAACGATCTGCTCCTACTTGATAAACAAAAAGCACACATTTACCCTGAGGAATGCTGTGTGGAAAACAGCAGCAAGGATTTCATTACTGCTGGAAAGTGCAAAACCTAATCGGCCGAGGGAGGAGTCAGCACATCAGCTGGCTCAAACTGGCTCTCATCAATAATGGAACAAATATTTGAGGATTAAAGTCAAATTAACTTTGAAATTCTTCAAAGTTGTTTTTACAGTTTATAAATATCTCGTGTATTTTAGTCATCTTAATTTATTTATGATATTGTTGTGATTTCAGCTAATGCTGTGACTGGGTATGTCAGATTCCAGAGTGAAAGTCCCATCTCAATGAGGACATAATGGTATTGTCACTAAGTTAGATATTCAAAGATTCCCAGCTGGTATTCTTGGGGCCCGGTAAAGTCTGTTTAAATAAAAGTTATCAATCATTGTGAATCAATTGTTATTTAAAACCTACCTGTTTTTAAGAAAGGAAACTGCCATCCTTCCCTGATCTCGCTTACACGTGACTCCAGACCCACAGCAATGTGGTTGACTCTGAAATGGCCAAGCAAGTTACATCATACTGCTGAATGGTTTCAAAAAAGGGGTGAAGCTGTAAGGCCCAGGAATTAGCAATGTTTGATTCCAAGACGTGTTTCCGGTCTCAGTGGCAGTAAGACCATTTTTATCCCGACCCCTGTAAGATTGCCAGTGAAGCAGAGCCTCCCCAGGGGCCGTGATACAGGAATATGGGTTCCTCACTGATGGAATTTGGAGTCAACCTCTTGGTTCAAGAGTCTGTGGAAAATGTTTTAATTTGGACTCTCCTCCAATGTTGGTGATCTCACTGATGAGTCATAGATTCATTGAGACTTGCAGCATAGAAAGAAAAAACAATTGATCCATAGTCTTGTCTACCTTGGGACAACAATTGCACATCTAGATATTTCATCAATGTTATGAGGGTTTCTGCCTCTACTGCCCTTACAGGCAGGAGTTCCAGATCTCCACCACCTTCTGAGTGACAAGGTTTTCACCCTCTAGACCTCCTGCTCCTTATCTTAAGTCTATGAGCCCTGGTCATTGATACCCACACCAATGGGAAATGTTCCTTCCTGTCTACCCTATCTATGCCCCATTTAATTTGATACAACACAATCATATCTCCAAGGAAAACAACTCCAGCCTGTCCAATCTCTCTTCATAACTAAAACTCTCCAGCGCAGGCAATGTCCTGGTAAATCCCTTCTGCACCAGCACTGACAGCTATGCCACCCTCACTCAATACCCTCTTTTTCTCATTCTGGGTGAAATGGCCCATGAGAGGGTGGACAGAGCCAGGACAGGAGCTGGGCTGCTCAATATTTGGCTACTCGCCCCTTCTGAGTCTGGGTTTGTCTGGGGTCAATGTCAAGCAGCATCTCAATAACTGAGTAAGACTGGAAACCCATTCAATAGGATGCGGGTCTAGTGATTGTCTTGTTATGGAGCTGACATGAATTCATCTGCCTTTTACATACTGTGTGTGGGTGTTTGTCTCTTTGTGTGTGTGTGTGTGTGTGTGTGTGTGTGTATCTGGTGATCTAATGTCTCCCTCCTTACAGAACACTCAACACCATAAGCAACCTTCATCCAAAACCGTGGGGAGCACAGATTCCTGGTTGATCTATGGGGTGACCATAGAAATGTTCAGCACAGAATGGAACAGAGGGTGGCTCGTCTCTGGGTCTGCCCTCTGCAAAAGGCCCTCACCTGGTCCCACAGTATCCACACTCCCTCCCACTTCTGCCCCCTGATTCCAGGGGGTTTGTTTCCACCTCAGCTGCTGATCCCATTCATTTTGGAAAGCCCCAATTGAATCTATCTCCAGCTCACTCTCAGGAAGTTTATTAAAGATGTGAGACATTCAAATGTTCAATGAGTGCATTCAGCATTTAGGAATTTTTTTTTCACCTTGTCATTTGCTCCTTTGCCATTCACGTTATATCAATGTTCGGTGGTTCTTGCTGCTTCTGCCAATGGAAACAGTTTCTTTCTCTCCACTCTGATCTGGCCCCTCCTGGTATTGAACACCTCAATCTAATTTCCTCTCTCCCTTCTCGCCTCTTAGGAGAACAGCCCCAGCCTCTCCAGTCTCTCCACGGAACTGAAGGCCGTCACTTCTGGAGCCATTCCTGTAAATCTTTTCTGTCATTTTTCTGAAGCCTCCACAACCTTCCAACAGTGTGGGGTCCAGAATCGGTACTTGAGTTGTGGTAGAGCCAGTGTTTTATAAAGATTCATCATCACCTCCCTGTTTTGTACCCCCTGTCTCTATTTATTAAATGCAGATTCCTAGAAGCCTTTGTAACCCCTTTTCTTAATCTATTTTGCCACCATCAACAAATTCTGCACATTCATTCCCAGGTCCATCTGCACCCCATTTACAATTGTATCTTTTATTTCATATCATCTCTCCTGATCTTTCCATCTTTTTAAAAAAGTATTCATTTAAGGGATGAGGTCATCGCTAGCTGGGCTAGCATTTGCTCCCCATCCCAGGGGGCAGCTAAGAGCCAACCACATTGCTGTGGGTCTGAAGTCACATGTAGGCCAGACATGGAAAGGATGGCAGTTTCCCTTCAGGGAAGGACATTCACATTATTCAGTGGTTCTTGCTGCTTCTGCTGATGTCCTTCCCGAAAGATGAACCAGAGATAGCAAGAACTTCAAATGCTGGAGTCAGGGACAATATAGAGTGGACCTAGAGGAACAGAGCAGGCCAGGCAGCATCAGAGGAAAAGGAAAGTTGATGTTTTGTGTCAGAACCCTTCTGTTCTCTGGGAATATCCCTGTTTACTTTCTCGAGCCAAAGCTCAACTGGTAACTGTTCTCTGTTCAGGGAAAGGAACTAAAGTTCCTCCGAGGGTGAGTCTGATGAATTAATCATCAGCAACAAGGGACTGCTGGAGGCAGAGAATGCGTCTGTCTTCACGGAGAAGATGCAAACTGAAATCAAGAATATTTGAAAATCTTGAAATTTTGGGGGAGAGAGGAACTGATCACAATGCCAATCACTGGGAAAGTTACCAGGAAACCCATGAGAACTGAAGATTGACAACTCCCCTGGACCTGATGGCCTGCCTCCCACTGTCTGAATGGCAGTGGCTGCAGAGATAGTGGAGGTAATGATCATGAATCTTCTCAATTTTTTCCAGGGTCTGCAAAGATTCCAGAAGATTAGAGCATCACTCGTGTAACACCTTTGTTCAAGGAAGAAGGCAGACAGAAAGCAGGAAACCATCAGCCAGTGAGCTTAAAGTTTGCTAAACACTGGTAAAAGCATGCCTTGCCCGTGGAACAGGAAACCTCAAACCACAAGCTGACACAAGATTTACTTTAACCTGAGAATCCTGATGCCATTTCGTCAGAACAGGGACCATTCGGGCCTCCAGCTTGTTTTCTGCGCTATTATATCATTTAAATTTGTAGCCGATCTCAAGATCATATTCATTATTTCACTTTTGATTGGCCTCTGGGTAAATGTGTGTCAATGTTTGTTGAGATAACAAGGTGTAGAGCTGGATGAACACAGCAGGCCAAGCAGCATCAGAGGAGCGGGAAGGCTAACATTTCGGGCCTCGACCCTTCTTCAGAAAGGTTTGTTGATATTTTCCGTGGACCTTCACCGCCACCTGGTGGTTATGACTGGGACTCCACGTTATTTTTTCTCCCCCTGCATTACCGCGTTCTGTCACCTGGTGGTGCTTTTGCTTTCTTTTTTATTTCTCTACTTTGGAGACAAAGTGCTGGAGACTGACTGACCCTGAGGACTCATTTCAGATTTGAAATGTTAACTCTGTTTTTGTCTCCACAGATGCTGCCTGACCTGCTGAGTATTTAAAGCTTTTTCTGATTTGATTTTGGATGTTCTGCATCCGCACTATTTTAATTTTTTGGCATATGAGCGATGATCGTCACAGAATGATATTTTGTCGCAATACCAGTTACCGCCAGCTGATGGCGGTCCTGTACCACGGATAACGTCGCCGTTCAGAAATCCCAGCGTCGTCTGCTGCCCGCAGTACCACACGCCGCCGGAAGGTGGTAATATTGCACCGATTATTCTTCAACTGGGATTAAACTGTGGAAATGGGGTAACAAACTGGATGAACACAGCAGGCCAAGCAGCATCGGCGGAGCAGGAAAGCTCCCGTTTCGGGTCTGGACCCTTCTTCAGAAAGACCCTTCTTCTTCAATGACTCGGCCACACAGATTGAGGATCAAGTTGCAAATGCTTCTTACATTTACCTGGAAGTTCATGGTGAGGTTCCAGGACATGGAATTGGAGCTTCCACAATTACCACCCATAGCTGCAGGAATTGTGAAAGAAACAATCACACTCAGTTGGCTGAGTTAAAACACAAAATTCTGCAGAAATTCAGCAGGTCTGTCAGTACCTGGGGAGAGAGAAACAGAGTTAACGTTTCCAGTGCAGACGGGCAGTACGGCATTTCCCCAAAGGGACTGGGTGTGTGACAGGAGCACGGGAAGTGGGAAGTCCTGTCTCATGTTTATTTTCCTCCTTTTTTTCTGATCCAATTCTCTTTCAGTTGTGGTCCTGCCGGGATCGTCTGATCGAAACAGGCGTTCGCGCTGAATCCCCGATCAGCCACGGTTTTTTTTTACTCCTAGCTGTAAAAGGAAGTAAAAATCCTGCTCTGTGCAAACAAGATTTCCAAATTCTTCTCCTCTTCGAAGAAAGGTGATTCGTGCAATTCCTGTCACCAATGAGGTGAAGAGCTGAAAACCTGATGCCACACAAATGCAGCTTTGTCACCCTTCAGTGTTTGGATTTCTCCCTCAGGATTTCATGTTCTGGGTGCAGAGTGAGAAATGGAAACACAGAGAAATCCCAGCACCAGACTGGGAAACAGGTGAAGGGATGGAGGATGGGACTGAAGCAGCGAGTAAATGAAGGAGACACAAGATATTTAATTTACTTTTTATTTTAATTCTCCAACATTTATCCTTGTATTAGTTTTATTTACAGACTGATTGTGATTTTACAAAGTAAAATCTGGAAACTCAATGACACGTTTCTGCCCCCGACCTCTGACCCTGACCCTAATCCCGGGGTCAGGTCATTGTGAGGTCAGGGAGGCCCCGCCCCTTCAGGAGCAGATTTTCAGAAACTGGTTTAAATTCCAACTGTGAAAGTAAGGATAAAGTTTCTCAGTGAATTTATTCCCAGTGAAGGTGTGGAGATGGGACATGGTGTCCGCGTCATAGAATGAAACTGTCCCAGACTCATAACTGAGATAAACTCCCACCTTCCCGGGGACCTGACCGACATGGAGAGGGGTTCGAGGGAAGTTTATATAAAACTGATCCTCAACCCGCTCAATGATCCAGAATCCATTCTCCGGGATCAGATTGACCCAGCCCTCCCTCTCCACAGACTCTGAGGCTACTCCCAGACTCCAGTCCCGATTCCCCACCACCTTCACCTCCCAGTAATGTCTCCCCGATGTGAATCCCTCTGATCCCAGGGCACAGACCCAGTCAGTAAACCTCTTCCCGGTGACAGGGAGATCCCTCCGGGTCCTGGTCAGTCTCAAACTCTTCAGATCCTCAGACACCTCGAGCCGGGGATTCGCTGTTTCCACATCCAGGGTCACAGAGACTGGGGGAGAAAATACAGAGAATTCGGGACACTCCATGGGTGTGTGTCTGTGTCGGCGTGTGAGAGGGGGGAGGGGGTGTGTGACGGTGGGGGGAATGTGTGTGAGAGGAGGGGGATATTTGTGTGGGGAGAGAGAGGGTGGGACATTTGTGAGTGTGGGGAACATGTCTTTGGGGCGGTGGATGCAGGTAAGTGTTTGTTGGGAGACGGGGTGGCATTGATGTGTGAATGGGATATGAGTGCAGGGGAATGTGTTTGTGGGTGAATGTGTGGGGGGATTGGTTGGTTGGATATTGGGGGAGTAATGTGGATTAAGGTTGTGTCTGGGGTGGGTATGGATGTGTGGGAAGGTGTGTATGTGTCAGTGGGGAATGTGTGTGTGGCGGAGGGATATTTATCTGTGGGGGGGGCAAGTATGTGGGGGAGATGGATGTCTTTGGGGTTGTCAGTGAGGGAATGAGCGTGCAGGGAGATGGGTAGGATATCTATCTGAGATGGGATGTGTGTGCTGTGGGCTTCCACATGGGGAGGGATGAGGGGAGAGATGTGTGTGAGTGGGTGTGTTTTGAGGGAGAATGTGTGTGCGGGGAGATAAGAGTGTAGTTATAGATCATGTGTGCTGAGGGAACAAGGGGTGAATCTGATTGTGGGAGTTGGAGGGAGGTGTGGGATTGGGATGGAATTGTGTGTGTGTGTGTGTGTGTGTGCGCGTGTGTGTGTATGTATGTGTGTGTGTGTGTAGAAGGGTGCCCGTGTGTGTGGTGGGGGAAAAGGGTAAACGCGTGTGTTGGAGGAAGGGATGTCTGTGAGACGGACGGTTTGTGCAATGCGGGGGGATGCGGGTGAGTTGGATGAGTATCTGTGCGGCATGTGTGTATGAGGGGTGCTGTGTTTTCAGGAATGTGTGTGTCAGCAGGAGGACGATGGGTGTCTGAGGTGATGTATGTCTGAGAGGTGATGTGTTTGTGGGAGGAGATGTGTGTGGGGATGGAGGAGGTGTTAGCTGGTGTGTGTGTGTGTGTGTGCGGGTGACAGTGACGTGTGTGTGGAATAATTGTATGTTGAGACTGTTTAACTTAAGTTGAGTAGTAATGAGTTAAAATAACACATGACCAGGAGCACGACGTAGGGAAATTTTAGCTTCATGAAATAGAGCATATTGCTGTAACTGCAACCTGCCTTTCCCTTGTCTGAGAAGTCACGTAGGAGAGATAGCAAAAAGCTGGAGCTCACAGCATCTGTACACTCTTATCTTCACCGCGTTCCACTTTAATTAATGTGTGTCTGGTTGCCTAAGTAATGACCTTGCCTTGCTAAAACACAGTACAATTGCAGTTTGTTTTAACTTGTTTGGACAAATTCTGTTTCTTTTTTGTGCTTGTCAGAGTCTTCAGACCTGACCTTTTGTCAGCGTTGACTCTCCATGATATCATGAATAAAATCTATTTGCCTCGAAGTCTGGGCCTTTGGTGTGTAATCTGATTTAGTCTCTTTGACAATCTGGCGTAGCCGGCAGGATCCCTATATCTATAGACAACAAGGTGCAGGGCTGGATGAACACAGCAGGCCAAGCAGCATCATAGGAGCAGATCTCTGATCCAGCATCTGCAGTTCCTACTATCTCTGATTCCAGCATCTGCAGTTCCTACTATCTCTGATTCAATTTTAACCCCACTGCGAAACCTCTTCTAAGGAGTCCAGCATCTGCAGTTCCTACTATCTCTGATTCAATTTTAACCCCACTGCGAAGCATCTTCTAAGGATCTGCTCCTATGATGCTGCTTGGCCTGCTGTGTTCATCCAGCCCTGCACCTTGTTGTCTCGGATTCTCCAGCATCTGCAGTTCCTACTATCCCTATATCTATATGTGTGTATATACGGGATCCGACCAAATTGATAAAAAGGGAAGTGAGAAAGGGATTCGAGTTTCCCCAGGCACTGACCCAAGTTGAGCCACCCTGATCCGATCTCGGGGTGACTGGAGAGATGGGACGGGCAATACCACGTGTGGAAGCAGAAACTCGTGACGAAATCCTCAAGTTATTATACATGAACTATTGAGACAAAAGAGTCAAGGAGACTTCGCGGACTGAGGCATAAAGAGATCTCGGGCTTGGGAAAGGGTGAATTAGAACACAGGAATACATAGAGTTAAGGTACGTAACTATAATGTATTAACATTCATTTAAATTCAGAGTTTGATCCCTTGGTAAGTGGGAATTGTTAAAGACAATGGGCAACAGAATGGGAAAAGAAGCCAAGAATCCCGAGGAGGAAGATTTCTCCATGAAGATGAAGAAGAAAACCATAAAGAAGGTCCAGAAAATCGTAAAACAAAGAAAGATGCTCGGGGACGTGTTGGTCCCTCCAGGATCACCCGCCGAGAAGGCTTGTCGAGAAACTGGAGACAGCAGGTACTCGGTTACGTTTTCCAGTAATTTGTATGGGTGTTAACAGACTTCATTGCTATATTTAAGGATACTTGGGAATCCTCGGCAGTTGTGGCACTTGAGCAGCACGGACTCCGAGCCATACAAACGCTTTTAAATTGCCTTGATCCTAACACTGCGCATGCCTTTAAACTGACTAACCTGACTCGGCAGCAGCAGGGATGGAACAAGATTCTTACGTCTCTGACCAACATGGATCAGCAAGGCTTATTTACAAAAAGATCAAGGGAACTTAAAGGCCAATTTGTCCAGCAGCTTAGATCTGGAGGTAACAGAGGTAACCAATGAAAGCCCCATAATGGTGATTGTGGTCGGAGACGGCAGGGAAGAGACAGAGAGCAGGATATCTGCTGGCGATGCGGGCAGAAAGGCCATTGGGCCAGGGACTGCCGCAGCGGGGCGGAAGGGACCCGCAGAATAGATCAGAAACAGAGTGTCCCTTTTTCACTTAACAACCCTCTCCCTCGGGGACAATAGGGGTGCCACAGAGGGGCGGAAATACAGGCTGCAATGATCAGATTATCCTCTTCTCCCCGGGAGGACCCAATGGCAGAAACAGAAATTAAGGGGAGGCGAGTAAACTTTCTCATTGATTCCGGCGCAACAATGTTGTCTGTGCCTCCCTCTGTGGAATTACCTTGTAGTCCTAAGAAGATTTCTACTGTAGGAGTAGCCGGAATTCCTATGGTTGAACCCCTGTCCCATCCCGTGCCTATACAAATTGGAGATTACAGTGTGCGTGAGACCTTTGTTATTGCCAAACATTCCTCAGTGAGCTTATTAGAGACGCCAAGCGCTTTGTAAGTTAGGGACCACGATTCACTGCACTCAGCAGGGACTATTTCTTGAATTGCTCGAATATTCAGTTCCACAAGCCAATAGCATGCTGCTCAAAGAAACGGAAGCTCTAAAATCTGAAATGGCTGTTTTGAAATGTTGGCAACTACGGAACAACCCCTTTGAGAAAATGCTTAGCTGCAGCACTTGGAGACAGGAGTGATGAGTGTTGTGTCTGTTTTCTACCAGTAGATTGCTTACTAAGACCCATTGCACGGCCTTATTCTCCAAAATTTCTGAGTCCGAGAATTACGCTAGAAAAGCTATACCCTTAGACATGTCTGATACCCTTTGCTCTGGGGGAAAGATTTATTTCAGCTCCTTGGGACTGGGAGCGGTGATTGATTTGACTCATACACAGGGTTCCTTGTTTGAAATGGGTCCCGAGACAGTCCCTCATGTCACCTTGACCATAAAGGGCCCTGCCACCCCTAAACAGATTGGCCCCATGCTAAAGGGTTTAGGTGAGGAAAATCCTCTGCGCACCGAAAAGGCATCTCTTGAGGCTTTTGGGATTGTACTGATTGACATTCTTTCAGCTCACTCGGGCTGTATTAGGATACTGCCTGGGAAATGGGAAGTGACATTCTGTCGATTTCAGCCATCCCCCTTGGTAGACTTGTATTTTCCTCTCCTCCTGCAGACTGTCCCTTTCTCCCTGTGGGCATTGCACAAAAACCATGTTGGCCTGGTCTCCTCGGCCCCGCCACTTCGGGTGAATGTTCGGGCCGGGGTTGTCCTGCCCTCTATTAAACAGCACCGTTTGTCAAAGGGAGGCAGAGGAGGGGATAAGGCCGGTCATCGAGGCGTTACTCGCTCAAGGCGTTTTGCGCCCTACCCATAGCCCCGACAACACTCCCATACTGCCTATCCCAAAGCCTGGATGGAAGGACGAGTGGCGCTTTGTCCAGGACCTACGCGCCATCAGCCAGATTGGAGAACCCCTCACCCCTGTATTCCCTGACACCAATGTGATTCTGTCCTCCCTGCTCCCCAGTTCGTCCTGTTACACAGTCATTGACCTCTGCTCAGCTTTCTTTTCTATTTCTCTCCATGAGGACAGCCAAGATCTCTTTGCGTTTATCTACAGCTGCAGACAGTATACGTGGACCCAGCTTCCCCAAGGCTACACTGAGAGCCCGGCCGTATGTGCTCCATGGTCCGAACGGACCTGCTTGAGCTATCATTGCCCGGCGATAGGACGGTACTGCAATATACCGATGATTTGTTGATTGCCTCCCGCGAGTGTGATGCCTGTCAACGAGACACCGTGGCGATGCTGTGTTATCTGGCCGATAGAGGACACTGGGTCTCCGCTCCAAAACTACAATTGTGCCAGCCCTCAGTGCAATGCTTGGGCTTTGTTCTCGAGAATGGTACGCGCCGACTGGGACCAGAGAGGGTCGAGGCGGTATTGAAGGCACCCAAACCCGTGACACAAAAAGAAATGCTGTCCTTTCTCGGTATGGTGAACTATTGCAGACAATGGATACCTGAATATCAGCGAATGGATGTTGTGCTGCGGTAGACGACATTGCAGGGGCAACTGACAGAAATAGACTGGGCTGAAGAGCGGCAACAAGTCTTAAAGGAGCTCAAAACGGCCCTGACTCATGCCCCCGCCCTGGGAATTCCTGATTACAACAAGCCCTTTGCCCTCTATGTCAGTGAAAAGGAGGGGTTGGAGAGTGGCATTCTGACCCAGGAGCACGG